GTCCATTAAAACTCGGGACACCCTGTATACGTATATAATATAAATGGGAAGTCGAAGCTGTTTAGCCATGTACTTATTGCGCTCAATCTTCTCTGCAAAATTTGTTCTCTGTTGTTATTATGACGTCACGCCATTGCATGTCTTCAACATATTTTTATTGTAAATTACGTTCGTAACAAATTTTAAATATCTCATTTGTAGATCTAAGTAAGTTATATGCATATACAGTTTCATAAAAATTCGCTGTGAGTTACAAGCGATTAGAGACTTAAAAAATTTTCGATTTAGAACTAAGATAAATTGAAGAATTTTTACATGTTTCGATGTTTTCAATTTTTTTATGCTTTTTTACGATTTTTATGAAGTTCTGTACATACACATGACTTATTGTTAGTTAAATCTACAAACTGGAATGAGTCCAATTTTTATTGACCCTAATAAAAAGTTATAAATTATGTCATCTTTTTTCTTCAAGATTCTGACCAATAGTCTTTTTCCAATTTGTTACATATTATGTAATAAGCCTCCTAGCATCTCAAAGAACATTAAGTTATTTGATACACTATTAAAAGTTATTCTATTTTTAAATACATCCGGATATTAATGGGAGTTAGAGTATTTTAGCTTTTACAAAGCTTAGTAGAATCCGAAGGCAGCCACTGAAGCTGAACTGAACATTAATAATGATCAGGAACTGATCGGTTACGATGGCGGAAGTTATATGTGCATTGCATAAACATGGAAAGTTTTCATTTCCGATTCACTATACGCGATACTGGGTGAAACTAGCGACTTTCACTGTCAGCGTAGGAGCAAGATAATATTCTCCGATCAACTATGATTTCTATATCAATTACTTGTATAAAAAGAATATTGAGAGATCTAAGACTCATTGACAGTAATTTCGTTCCCCACGGAGCTGTGGAAATGCTTGAATTTTCGAATAATTCGACGATGGAACCGCAACGGAACTCGGTTTCAGATCCAATCTGATTATGAAAAAGAATCGAATGGATCCAATAAACGATTCGAGTGGTTCGAATAAATCGAGTAGCTTGAACGCAAGCGAGTAGCTGTAGTAAATTGAGAATAGATATATTTAGATGAATTTTCGTAGAGTTTTATGAATAGGTACTCAGTGGAGTCTAAATATTTATTTATTATTTATTAATTTCAGCCTTTCGGTTCAGACATGGACTTAGTTTACATTGACTGCACCTACAACTTCACTCACTCGTACTAATCATTTACGCTCTTTTCTTCTATTTATACCCTTTTCCTCGTTCTATATAGGGTGTTTGCGAAATCGTGGTACAACCAGTAAGGGGATGATTTTTCACATATAATCTAGTCGAAAACAAGGAATACAGTTCTTTTTCGAGAAAATCGAGTTTTTACTTATTAAACCAGAGGTACAATTGTTGGATTGGCCGAGGTGGAACTGTTGCGTGGCCAGGCGTGCGATCGCCAGATCGTACTCCTTTAAATTTTTATTTGTGGAGTAAAAGAAATAGTTCATGCCCAAAGTAATAAAAATCGGGACCAATTAAAAGGTAATATCGTTCAGGCATTCGAAACAGTAAAAAACTCGAACACATTAGTTTTGGTTCACACTTCACTAATTCGTCGAGTAAGAATTTGCCTATAACAACAAGAAAGACATTTTCAACATTTGTAATTTACTAGAATAAATCAATTATTGAAATTTGCGGCTAATTATTAATTGAAGTCACGTACCTAACGAATTTTCAAACTCGATTTTCCCGAAAATGACGCCCCGTATGAAGAAATTATATTTCTTGTTTTCGACTAGATTTCATGTGAGGAATCATTCCCTTGTCGGTTGTACCACGATTTCGCAAACACCCTGTATACAAACTGTCTTAAGATTACCACCCTTATACAATATACCATAGTACCGATACCTTTGGTACGTGTTTCACGGATTGTCTCAACTCTGATCTTTTCTTTTTTTTCCCTAATTAGCCATCCTTGTTATCCTTCCCTTGCTTCTTCCTTACTACTAATGGTATCGTCAATTGCTTCTATTGCCTTTAACTGTTCAAAATTGTTTATTTCATTCTTAAAATTCTTTACTACGTTTAAGTTCCTTATGTTTAACTTGCTAATCTATATTTTCGTTTCCTCACATATGTATAAGCAATAGGTGTTGCTAAGTATAAAGCTCTTTACAACAAAGAATACATTGTTTTTGCTTATCTTCTACCCGGAATACTTATTTACCCTTTCTACATTTCCGCATTTTATCCTCGCTATGTTTCTAATATTTTTATTTATGCTTTCTTCTCTTAGTGGAGTCCAAATATGTATATTCGTAGACATTTCAGAATTGAAGAACTCTTTTAATACTGGATTTAAAGAATTAATTTTTGCAGGTGTTTAAGATATTAGTTTGCTATATGATATATGAAAAAAATTAAACAAATTTGGTGTAAATCAGATTTACGAAGATTCATATTTAATGTCAGTACGAATTTTAGAGTTATTCAGATTGAAATATTTCTTAAGCTACTAGCTTTTCGTCATACGTAGGTCAGTATCTTTGTATAAAGAATATCTAATAGCATAGTTTGACGTATGAAGAAATACCCCATTCCATTTAAAAAAACAAAGTTAACCTTCAAATCTCCCAAGCAACCCGCAGAAAAGATACGTACTCGTTAATTATACGGATATTGTGTATGTAATTATATGTATATGTATATGTACATTATAATGTATTCTTCGAAACCACATACAACTTTTGTCTGAAACATTTCTTCCTATCTAGACAAATGTGGAAGTTATTCAGGTGGCTTACTTTAGGCAACTCACCCTGTATTGTAGTTTGTAGTATACTTCTTTAGTATTTTATTAAATACTATTGTAAATTGTAGATATGCACGAAGCATATAGAATCTACGATATTTATTTGGATCTTTCGATTAATGCTACAGTGGATTAATAATAAAATTACAGCAATCAAGTATTGTTCAAATAAATTATCAAATAAATTGATCGTACATTCATAATCATCATACATAATATTGCTTTATTATTGTTCCGCATTTAGATTAATCAGTCAGTGAGTGCAGTGTTCTGTTTCATTTGAGCAGCTTATATATTTTACAAACTACTCGATCCCGTTCAAACTGCTCGGTTTCATCTGAACTATTAGATTCTTTCAAATACCCAATTCAATTCGTTCATTCAAACTAAGTATTACTCGGCACGATTTTCCGAGTATTTCAACACCTTCAGTTCCATTACGTGCGTCGAGAAAATAAAACACAGGGTGTATCCAAGCGTGAACATTCTACATAGTAATAGCGAGCTAAATCAAGCGAGTCAATGATCTTAAATTAGGTCATCGTTATTTCCTCGGAAGAATGTTATGCAATAATAAGTACATAACTGAATATGTTTAACACTAAACCTACCGACACTTTTTGCATACCTGTTCCTATCGTACCAAAACGGTCGGTTTTTAAAAAAGTTATTGTTTTTATAACTAAACGTAGAAAATAGTCAACTTGTTACTAAATTAA